CCCCCCCGTGCTCCCAGGCCCGCACCCCACTGAGCCCCAACCAGCTGCACCCAGACCTCCACCCCACTAAATCCCAGTTCCCCCCAGCACCCGGACTCCCCTGCTGAACCCCCCACACCCAGACCCTGCAATCTGCAAATGGAAAACAAGTTTTTGTCTTGTTTCTTTTTTGGTATTGTGATATTCTGCTCAGGACACTCAGAACTATCTGTGTCTCATGTCTGATATGAGTTATAGTATGATGAGCCCTCTGCCAGGTGGCATTAAGGGACTCCTAGGGTCACAGGTATATCTATGCTGGAAGTGTAATTTCCAGCTCAAAGAGACATACCTGTACTAGCTCTAATCGAGTTAGTGTGCTAATAATAGGAGTATAGCTGCAGTGGCTCGAGCAGCGAGACAGGCTAGCCACTGAAGTACAGTCCCATCTGAGACCCTAGGTAGGTACTCGGGCAGCTAGTCTGTCCTGCTGCTTATACTGCCATGGCTTCACTCCTATTTTTAACATACTTGGTCATAGCTAACATGGGTATGTTTACTTGAGCTGGAAATTACACTGTCCAGCTCCAGTGTAGACATAGCCTTTGATCGATCTCTCTCTCTCTCTCTCACTTGAAAGTTATAGTTATTTTCTTTGAAAATTTTCTGCCTTTTTTAACTTTAGAAATATCAGGAATTTCAATTCATATTGTCCCTGTTTTTGCTAGCAGCCTCCTTGGAGGATCCAAAGAAGTAGATTGGGATCTTTCTCAGCATATTGTTTAAGGGCTCGGTGTGTTGAATTATAACAAAATGATCTTTTAGTTAAAATTAGTTGATAGAACTAAAGAAAACAAAAATGCAAGTCTTAAAAATCACTTCTCTCAGTTAACCAGGTTTAACTTCCTTGGTACATGTGATCTAATCCTCCAGAAAAAATATAGGCTAGGCAAGACCTGAATTTCTAATGTAAAAAAAAGAATCAGAAAAACACTTTTAAAAATAATAATTCTTTCTTTATGTGTACATAATACTTTTTCCTGTGCAGGTGACTATGAAAATATATAAATAGAAACATTTCTGATCGTCTAAGCGTTTATAACTTTTACAAAACCTATATTTGGAACCAGACTTGTCATGACCATGTCCCTGTAAATGAAAAGGGCACCCTTTCTAAGCTGAAAAAATGCTTAATAAGATAAACTTCCTTATATTCTGCAATGCTATGTAGTGAGTGATGCCAAAGACTGAGATTTAGTTTGTATGCAGCTTTCCAATTAAAGAAAATAACTTTGAGAGCTATGATAAAAGGAATATTATTATCCTACTGAGAGAGGAGATTGGTGGAAACCTGAATTTATACTGCAATTGTCTTTATACTCCTTTTTCACTTCAGTGCCAAATGCCAGTATTTCATATAACAGTCAATTTACATACATAACCTGAATTCTCATTATACCTTATAAAGTGATAGTATGGGTAGGAGAATATTGTCAGCACTTTATGGAACATAATTACTCAACAAGAAGATTTCTTAGTCAGTTTAATTGGAATATGCCGTAACTTATCT